GTTCTCTATTGCAAGGGTCCTGCCCTTTCTATTAGATCATGGCTATATCCTTTCCAACATTTGGTGATTTTTCCTCCCCGCAAAATAAGTCCTGAACACATTTTTCTTTTGCAGGAAAATGTATCTTTAAAAAGAATTGCGTAAAAACGTTGAAAGAAATGGAAAAAAACCCAAAAGGGTGTGTGAAACAGAGTCAGGGACTACAGATCACTCATGATGGTGACTATCCTGTGTTCAAAAAAGTGAAAAAAGATGGGGGAGGGGGGAGACAAGAAATAGAGGAGAGGTCTCAACAGAGCCTCAGATAAAGTGTTTTCTCCTTCCTTTTTGCAAAAAGGCAGTGTGGTACAAATGCTAGGGTGCTGACCTGGGACTTTGCAAATGTGGCTGCTATTCCCAGCTCAACCACTGACCTTAAGTGAGACAGTTTATTTTTAGGAGCCTCTCTTCCCCTCCCCCCCCCAATTTTGTGTGGTTATTCAGACCACAAGCTCTTTAGGGTAGGAATTCTCTCTCACTATGTTTTGTGGCATGCATAACACAATGGGGCCTCAATTTCACTGGGGGACTTTAGACACAACTGTAATACAAATGCTAACTATGTTTTCTTACATTTTCTAGTTTATGCTTGCCATGTTTTTAAAAAATAATGTTGACCATTTTAAATAAAAACATGAACTTTATGGATTATAGAATTTAGAAATATAGACAGTACAAATCAGTGTGTTTTTATTTGTAACACCTTACACATAGTCTTGAATCATAGTCCTGCAAAACAAACAAAAACAAAACAAAACAAACTTATGCACATGAGTGACTTACTCATGAAGTAAAAATGAAACTTATTTATCTTGATGCTTTTTCCTTCACCTGACAAATATTTTATTTTGCTAGTGACTTTCTCTGTGCAGTAACAATAGAAAAGTTTTGGCCTTTTCCTTCTACTACTACTTTCATCATGCATTGAAGTCAATGGAACTCCCCATACACGTAAAAGTTACATAGCCAGGTATTTGTGGGATTGTTCCCAGAATGAGAAAATAGAACTTTTGAGCCTCCTTTGATCACCTCTTCATTAGAACAGTTGGTCTTCAATTTGGGAGTATAGAAGGACCCCCCAGTTTTACTATTTGCTATCTACCTCTTTGATCAGAAACCCTGGCAAGGTAAACCAAATATAATGAAAAGCAGATTATTATTTATAACATTTTTTTACTTAAGGGATAATATTTTTATTATTATTTTTAATATCTGGTACTCAGCTCCTGCTGGAGTGAAATGAGGCACTGGAATTAAATTCCTCTTTCTTCTGCTACATCAAATGGTTAAGGGCACCCTTAGTATAGGAAATGCAATATGGCATTTTTGAAAAATCTTCACACTGAATATTAAATAAGTCCCTGATGTTCTTAGCTTCACAATTCAGAATTAGCTCTCTAAGTCTATTAAGTTCAGAAACTGTTCCTTATATCCAGCACTGACTGCCTTCTCTAGTACTCTATACAAACCTAAATGCTTAGCATTGGGACATGGAATGCCCATTTAATATTTGACTCTCTGCACTCTGCACTACTGTGTGGGGTATTTAGTTTCATTTTGCTTGCATTAAAAAGGTATTCATTAAAATATTGACTTTACAAATCAATCCTTTACCCCCTTCACTGTAAGTCTTGAGACACAATGTGATTTAAGAAAAAGAGTTACTGTTACTTAGAATAACAGAAACCTGCTCACCCAATCTCTCTCTGACTGCATCACCTTCACTACTCTAATACATTTTCACTGCTACTGCTTGTATTAAAAACGGGTGTCCAGAGACCAGAACTATGCGTTCATAATTTGCACATGCAATAAACAGGATGGCATGCATAATCCTGGGTGGCTCAGTGCATAAGTGGCCAATGAGATGTCTAACTGGCCACTGCCGACTCAGTCACTGCCAACTGCATGCACAACTGTGGCCCCCATTCAAGTCTAATGTGCTTATCACCATCATATCTGATGATTTCAGATTTAGGAGTTAAATGAAAGCCAGAAAATATTTATCATTACTACTTTTCCTTTTGGGTTTAAGACGTCCCAATGTTTTAAAACATAGTTAAGATACAGGCTGAAGGAGGGAAAAGAAAAAAAAAAGATGATTTCATTGTATGTGCCTGTTTCCAGGCAACACCATACAGCTTCTTATTAAAACATACTGCTTTAGTAACTACTTTACAGTGCTATTTAATCTGCTGCAAAAATGATACACAAATAATTTTACTTGAGAACAAAAAGAAAGTAGCTCCTGCATTTAAGCAACAAAGCAAACACAAAAAAGCACAAATAGGAAAAAGGTGAAAGGTAATAAATCCCTTTGTTTTAGTGGGACAGAAAATACCTGCACTAATGTTTCAAATGGTTTTATTTCTTAGTTTAGATATCCCACTAAGGATGAAATTAATATTCCTGGATGACAGAAGAAGATTTAACTGACAAGATACTACAGGCCTTCACCTTTGGTTTGTTTGGTGTGAGCCATTATTAAAATATCGCAGAGGATTTAAAATGTAACTGCACTAAAACCAAAGGGATTTAAAAAGCATCATAGCACAGTTAGTAGCAAGGAAGGCAGCACTCACAGAAGATGAGCAGGGGGTGGCCACTTTTGGACTGCACGGTGGAGAGCAAGTCATCTTCATGAGAACTGGCATCTCGTCATCTGATACAGAATTGGCAGGCTTGTCTTTGACTGTGGTACTGTTGATAGCGGGCTGCACACTGGGCTCAGGCGACAGAAGCTTTACAGGGACAGAAACGGGCATGACGATAGGTGCGAGGCTATCCACCTCTTTAGGCGGCTGTTGTTGTGGTAGTTTCTCTCCTTCATCCTGTACAGACAATTACAGGCTTTCAGCCTTAGTCAAAGAGGGTTCCTACTGGATTTACAGATTATAAAAACTTTGAAAATGTATTCATCATGGTCTAGAAAGAAATGGCTCTGATGTGAAAGAAACAGTAGAACTGCTTCTCAGAGTACATAATTGGCCTGAATAAAATTGGCCAGACAATTATGACATTGGATTCAGCCTCAGTCATAAAGAACCATATCATATTTCATTAAAGATGATCTGTAAAGAGGAAAAAAATATAGTTGTGCTCTTTGCATCGCTTCTTCATGCTGAACCAAGAAGGTAAAAAGATTTCTTAAAAAACATTCAGATCGTGTCTAATACAGGAGAGAACGGACAATAGAAGAACTAATATGATTATGCCATCTGACACACCAAGGCAGCAAAACTTGAGAAGTTACTTTTATCTAGACCAATTAAACTCATTTTGTTTGTTTTTTTGTTAACATTTGTTTAATTCAGCACGTGGGAGAAAAGCTTTCTGCTAAAGATTCAACATTTCTGATCTTTCAATTAAGTCTTGAAATATTCCCAACATGTGTCAGTCACCCAATGAGTCCAGCTAATAATAAGGTAGACTAAGTTCGTCATTCCCGAAATTTTTAATGCATTAAACAGAAAAATAGAACTTAACAAAATTTTGCCAGATTTCTTTATTCATTACAAAAACACGGGCACAAAAACTTGTTTTCTCCCCCTTTGACAGTCACCTTTAAGCAAGGCTCTTGGACTATGGATAAGCAGAGCTATATATATTTTCATTAAGGTAGAGAGAGTAGAGTAACTGAAACAAAACTGGGGAAAATGTATGTTGACAGAAAAGCAAAGCAAGCAGCAAACATCAACATGAAAAGAGCCAAATATCAAAGTAAAATGAGCTGCTACCTGTTTAAAATTAGGAGATGCTCTTACTCCTCCATGTGATCGCATGTGACCATTTAGGGCTGGTAAACTCTTAAATTCCTTCAAGCATATTGAACATGTTAGCTTGCTCTTTATAAGGGATCTCTCAGGAAACATTCCTTTGTTCGGGCCACTATTTTTACAGGGAGATAAAGGAGAAATCAGCTTGCCAGATATTCCATTTCACCAAGAGTCCCTTTCACAAAAGTCTTTTATCAGACTTTTTATCATATTTTAAAAGAAATTTGTAATTACAATGTAACTAAACAATAAAGCATTTCTATCAGAATGGTAAGCAAAGAAGCCAGGATATGTACGCTAATAGCCTAGCTTACTGATTCCCAAACTGGAGGAGAAGACAAGTGATAAATATGGCCTAGGCCCAGAATTGTATTTCAGTGGCTCATGTCTTCCTACCCACCTCGCAATAACAAAAAAGAGTGCCTGAACATGAGTGCCACTTTGACAGACAACTGTGCTAAGTACAGTAAAACTCCGATGGTCCGGCATGTGATGGTCTGGCACTCCTGATGGTCCAGTACCATCAGGAACCCGGAAGTGCTCTGGGCAGCCGGACCATTGGAGCTGCTCTACCCCCAGCTTCCCTGATTCAGCTGCTGCTAAAACTGACCAGCGGCTGAATCGGGGAAGCCGGGGGCAGAGCAGCTGGAGGGCTGCCGGGGAGGTCCCGTAGCGCT